AATATAGTGGCGCATGGAGTCTTTCATCACATCACTAGGGTTGTGCGTGAACATGCAAGTTTGACCCTGTCCCAAAAGTGAGTTCTTTTGGTCTAAAATTTGGTGACGTAATGTTACACAGACTGCTGGGTTGTGAAATGGCTCATGAAGTGAACCTATAGTGAGGCTTAAAATGATAGTTCATAGTCAAAAAGATAACATTTTGTTATCATTTACTCACCCTCATTCCAAACACAAACTCACTTTCTTCTCTGAAAGCCAAATGAAGATATCTTGAATATATTTTAAAGGGTACTAAACCCCCGGTCCAAGCCTGACACCATTTGGATGTCTGGCAATATTTGAAAAAAAAAAAAAAATGCTGGAAAAGTGAGACTCTCTGTAGGCAAGGGCGTGGTTAGCTGATGCCTGCTTACATCATAGGGGACCACAACTTCCAATAGGAAAATTCAACTGCAGTAGCCACTGTTAAACATGAAGAGGGCCAAAATGTCAAAAAATTACTTGAATCAATGAACAGCATTAGTAAAGCTCCAGACTTACAGATAATTAACTAAAACAAGTTGTTTTAGGGTTTAATTGCCCTTTAAACTGTTTTTGTCAATATATTTAATAAAGTCACTGGGTTCCAAAACAATGTATTGTATAATAATAATAAAAAATTATATATATATATATATATATATAAAGGAAAAATATATTTGACATTTTTTTTAGAAAAATAGAAAGTTTTAGGTTTAAAATGGCATGGGCATTACTGAACTATCTCTGTAAATATCCAAATACTGTATCTTGACATCTTTTTTAATACATCTTGACATGTATTATTTGCACACATGCACACTTTCATCACAATTTCTGCCTATGACATTAACATAATGCATTACGATAAATTATTAATGCAGGTTTATCATTTTATCAATGTTCCTGATCATATAGTGGAAAATCAATTTAACAGTTTGAATCCTGCAGAGGCGCAGCATGAATTTCTAATGGGTCATGTAACCTTGGTAACATTAAAGGGCACCTATTATGGAAAATTCACTTTTACATGGTGTTTGAACATAAATGTGTGTTGGCAGTGTGTGAGCAAAACCACCCTAGAATGATAAAAATCCATCCAGTAGTTTTTTTACAATCTCAATAAATCATATGCACTGCCTCAGAACGAGCTGTTCTGAGATCCAGGTCTTTGTGACGTAGAACGGGAGACAGGGGGTTGATTGACAGTGTGGCTGTGGCCTAGACCCCGCCCTCGGTGATCTGTACACACCATCCTTCATTGTTTCAACGACGACAGCCGGTAATGTCTCTTGGAAACGTAAATTTATGTTCTGTCGTGGACTCGTGGGTTAATCCTGTTGTTGTGGCTTAAAAGTTAATCCTCAAGTGTGGATTGTCGTCTACTGTTTGCGATCCACCGTCACCTCCAGTAACAGTACGTGTATTTTATGATTTTTGAGCAAATAGTCTTTTCAGTTAATGTCAGCCAATTCAATAACAAATGCGTCTAAAGTTATTGCCGTCATAGGATGTCTGTGTATATAATTTAAAACCTTGTTTGTATAGTGTGTAACCACACGTTTATAAATATATATATTTTTAAAGATATTGTATTAAAAACTGCATATATGTTGGTGTTCTGTAAGTTAGCCATCTTCTCACATTTGCCACAGAAGCACCTATGACAAGTAGCTAAACATGACGCCACAGGTCCCTCGCATAAATGTAATTTCGCTCGTACGTTGCAAACTTTATCACAGAATGTATATGTAGTTTCAAAAAATTGCGCTAGTGTCTGTGTGTGTGTGTTGGACATCCATCATTTCAAATGGGACGCGATTACAACTCTAAAGTACATAAAAGTATCAAATAACCATACCGAGACGTACTGGTCCATTCTCATTTGTTTATTCTGCCGGAGTCTCTTCATACTATTTAAATATTCCGATTCAAACGTACTCTGAATGACATTCAATACGGCGCGTCTCTTCACTCTCTCAGTACCGACTGCCTGCCATTGTGTATTTATGATTCAAGCCCCTTTTTAACTTTTTTTATCTTCTTGAGTGAAAGTCAATGGCCGCCCAGAGACTATTCAACCAATTAATATTAAAGGTGCATTGCGCAACATTTCATGTTAAAAATAGCCGTTTTCTAACCCATACATGCTTAAACAATCGCCTGATGGGCTGAATGAGCACTTCTCTGATCACTGAGATCGCCTCTATAATCCTGTACAGTAAAATAAATAAGAGGGATTCGGGCTTGAATCTGAGACTGTCTCAGATTCGAGCCCGAATCCCTCTTATTCACGCTCGCCTGGCTATGTGCCTATGTCTTGCAGGTAGTGTATTCGCCGCCATTCTCCGTATCAGAGAAGACAACTTGAGCGACACAACTTTAGTCAACTTTCCACAAAAGTAGAAGATGGATTCAAAGGAGCTGTTTAGCCTACACCTGGTCACTTCATGCGTTTCCTGTGATCGGATAGCTATTTGATCGTGAAAAGACCAGGTTGCCCTCCGAAACGCATTCGAGACGGATTTGAATCCGATCGCTCAAACCACTTGAGGACGTGGTCTGGGCCGTATTCCAGACAAAACTGGACAAGTGTGAATGCATCTGGTTGTTGAAAGCAGGCTATCGGTTATGTTATGTTATTTTAGTCATATATGACGACGCGCATCACCTCAGATGAGCAGCTGAGCGCCTATTCATCAAGCCAGCGCGCCGCATTCTATCGCAAATCAAAGTGAAAGTAAGTCGCAGACTCTTAACACTACCATCTTCATTAAAAGTAAAGAAATGAACTGATCTTTATCAGGGCTGTTGCCACTCTCTCTTATTGCTGTCTTTGCTGATTTTGAAATTAGCCGATGATTAATAAAATGCAATTCGGTGACGTGCACTTCATGAATTCTGTAGCCTATATAGTGCGGGAATTGAAGATCAGATTATATCCGTTTTGCAAAAACACATTTATGTGACCAGGTGTAATGGAATCGTTTTGATAAATCAGATGGCTATCCGATCTGAGAAAACGCATTGTGGCCAGGTGTAAACAGCCCCAAAGAGACCGGCTTGTAGTTCATTCCAAACCCCAACGCAAACTCGACGTGAGACAAAGAAAATACAACTTCTGTCTGTCTAGTGCCAGCCGTCGGAATAAGACGAAAGTCAACATCGGGAAGGCTTTCAACAAACAGAGAGATCTCCGGTCTGCTCTAGGGCTCAAACGGGTCCTAAACAAAGTAATAACTTATATTGTTCATGAACATGTTTCCATAATTATACAATCATACGTGGATACAGTAAGCACATAAAACAGTTAAATATGGAGATAGATGGAAACAAAAACCGAAGTTTTCTACTACCCTGTTTTCCCCTCACACACACATAAATGTGTACTCGAATGCCTTTCCTTTCATATATTTTAAATGACCTGCAGATTTATAACTGTATTACCTCATTATGACTGTAACAAAAGATGTGTGCCGCACAGTGTGCAGCTGATGCTCCTTTGGTTATGAACAGCTCGTGCAAACGTGCGTGTATGTGTGTGTGAGCGCGCACGCAGTTTCGCTTGTCGCCAGAGGGGGTGTAGATCTACAAAAACTCAGATACTTGGGTTTTGCTCCTTTAACTTAACTCATGGACCCAATTATTTTTTATTAATTGCATTTTGGGGAATTGTGCATTGTTGGAATTTAGTTGTTTCCAGAATACATGCTGATATTGATGAGATTCAAGCGTTTTGTCAAATTTGAGGAAGGTAACTTGTAAAATCTATTACAAGGCCAAAAGAAACATGTAGTAATGACAAAACTTACAGAAAGCATCTGTTACAATAAATTTCATGGTCAAGTGTTTTAAACCCATTCACCCGGTTCATATTCCATTATGAAGCAGATACAACCAAGGACAGAGACGTCACCCAGCATGGCACAGCCAGGGCCCCACCATGCGAGCGCCTGGTGGCCAGGCCTCCCCCCATGGGCTCAGCCCGAGTGATGTAGGAAGGGGCCGGTGCACAGTGGATCGAGCAGCAGTCGAAAGCGGGGGCCCCGATGACCCGATCTATGGACACGGAAATTAGCTTTAGGCTAACGGATGGTTTGCAGGATGGTCTGGGATGAGAATCAGTACCTCCAAGTCCAAGGCCATGGTTCTCAGTCGGTAAAGGGTGGCTTGCCCTCTTCAGATTGGTGGAGAGTTCCTGCCTCAAGTGGAGGAATTAAAGTATCTTGGGGTCTTGTTGAAGAGTGAGTGATGGATGGAACGGGAGATTGAAAGATGGATCGCTGCAGCTTCTGCAGTAACACGGTCGATATACCATTTTGTCGTGGTGAAGGAGCTGAGCTGCAAGGTGAAGGTCTCGATTTACCGGTCAAGATCCCGGATATAATGAAATAATGCCGAAATGATGCTGCTGAAATGAGCTTTCTCCGCAGGGTAGCTGGGCGCTCCCTTAGAGATAGGGTGAGGAGCTTGGTCACTCGAGAGGAACCAGCTGAGGTGGCTCGGGGATCTGTTCTGGATGCCTCCTGGACGCCTTCCCATCGGGAGGAGACTCCGGGGAAGACCTAGGACACGATGGAGGGATTATGTTTCCCGGCTGGCCAGGGAACGCCTCGGTTTCCCCCCGGAGGAGCTGGAGGACGTGTCTAGGGAGAGAGAAGTCAGGGCATCTCTGCTTAGACTGCTGCCCCAGCAGGCCGGCCCCAGATAAGCGGAAGAAGATGGTATGGTATGGTACGGTATGGTATGGTATGCGTTTTAAACAGAATGTCAAACTTCGGAAACTATGTGCCAGAAAAATGCAGTCAAATCTCAAGTTGGGGGTACTTTTTGTTAATCATTTATCATATGTCTTAGAAGTAATAATTAGGAAAAACAACACTGTTAATAAATGAATGCCATTTTGTTTTGAGTGGGCATTAACCAGGTCACTTCCCCAAACTCATTTAGAATGGTATGTACTTGTTGTCATTCATTACCTGTTTAAGTTTGTCATCTGTGAGGCAGTTTAGTTCAATGATGAACTCGCTGTCTGTCGGCAGTATCTGTGCGCTCGGGTCAATTATTTTTATGATATCAAGTTGCTCCCGAAGACCCATCTCTGTGCTCACTTTTCGACTTAAATATTCAATATATTCCACCTGAAAAACAAAAATCAAAGTTAGTTTGCATTAAGAACAGTAGAAGCTCTAAAGAAACCGAACAACAAGTAAATTCAGAGAAAAGTTTTTCATTCTTTCATAATTGTCTAATTAACATTTTTCATTACAATTATAGTATCACTATAACAATATAAAAGTTAGCATTTGAGAAATGTTATCCCATGTTGATTTATTGACAACAGCACTGGAGTTGACATGGACAAAACCTGATGATCCATGTTAATTATTGTTATTTGTTGGTCTCAGACTCTTGAACACATGACAACACATACTGGGTGTATTTTATATTTTCATTGCATAAATAAAATAAATCAACCTGTTCATCATTAGTCATGGCACTCCAGGGCAGCTCATCCAGATTTCGGTGTGGTTTGTTTTTTCTTTTGGATACAAGGCAGGGTGAACTGGGCACGCTGGGTATGATGTCTGACAACACATCACTGCCACTGGCTATGTCACTGCCTGGTAACTACAATGGCACAGTTTTTGTTCAGCAAATTCTTCAATAAAATAATCAACAGCTTGTCCATATGTTAATAAAAAACAATGAAAGTGAAATAAAAAATAAAAAAGGTGAGTGGCTCACCTGCCACTCAAATTCGCTGTCTGACCAGTCCCAATAAGTGCTGATGGAGGATGACACGTCGCTGCAGACACTGCCTTCTGGGAACAGGTCAAAGGAGGTGAGATCCTGATCATCCAGGAGGGAATAACAGTCATCCTGATCGCCCACAGAAACGGAGGAGAAGAGTTCTTCACTGCAATCAGAACTGGCAACACTAGTGCCGCATGACGTCAGGTTCCATCTGCAAAGAGGTGAACATTGTTGACTTGAAGGCAGTTTCCATTAGAGGTCTTTCACAGGTCCATTTGGATCTAAAAATCCGAGGTCTGACCCAAGAACAGAACGGGTTCGGGTCCAAAACTTTGACGAGTGCCTCGGACACTGATCGGTCCTGATTTTAGTGGCCACGGGTTTAAGGTAATTTTAAATAAATGTGCTTTTACCAAATGAACCCAAGAAGACCTAAATTATTATACAATTTTCTGTGGTTCTTAATATTAAAATAAATATACATATCCATTTCATTTGAGGTGAAACAAAGCTTCTGAGCGGTTTATTTCCTTGGAAGTGCTCGTCCAATTGCAGAAAAAAGATAAATCGTTGTTAGATTGATTACAGAAAACCATCTAAATGCAGTTGAGGCCAAATAAATCAACTAAATCTATTTAACAAAAATAGCCCAGAACTCTATATTTTCATGTTTTATGAACATTTGCAAAAATTTACAAAAAGCTGGACAGACAGCAAGACATTGGTGTGTCACATTGGCGTGTCACACTCATTTGGCAGTCAGAACAGTAAAACTCTCTTCCAGATATTTCAGTGACATCAACTTTCAGAATTGGAATTTAAAGTACTTCTAAAGAATTCAAAGAAATGCCACGAAACTCAGTCAGCATGAAGTCAAGCCATTGAGGATGAAAAATTGACGGGGGATTTTTGATATCTCAAACGGTTTGGCCATGGCGAGGAAACGAAATTATAGCAAGAAACATGAAACAGGAAGTGTGTTATAACTTCTGCAAGTGTGTTATAAACTGATCTTGATGAAATTTCAGCATTGTGTTCGCTGCAAGAGGCCGATCACATGGATGTGACAATTGTGAGTCAAAGTTATAGCGCCACCAACTGGCAGCAGGAAGTGCGTCCCTTTCAAAATGCTTTGAAAACACCCTCTTATTTTAACCCGATTTGCTTCAAATTCTATGTGAACTGTATAATGTAAACATACGGCAGATGTAGACCTGTGAATGGATTCTTGATATATTTGATACTGTTGCCGTGGCAATGCAACAAACTTTACAATTCTTTAAGGATGCTTTTGAGACACTTAGCATGCTTAAAATTGCATGAAACTCGTCAGACACATCTCATTTATTAGCCAGTAGACGTGCAAAGGGGCTAGATTAACCATTTCACTGCTGTGTGTTTGGCCTGCTTTAAAGAAAATAAATGTCTTAAGCCTTGTATTTTTTAATTAAGATTTTTTTTTAATAAAGTAAAATGTAACCAGTTTAATTGTAGTGAATTGACAATAGTTTTACATAATTAGTTTATCAATTACTTTAACTTGGTCCATAAACTTGGTCTGAAAATTTGGTCCATAAATCAAACACACTTGCAAGTAATATATTGAAACTCGGTACACATATAGATCTCATAGTGCCAAACAACTTTAAGCCAGCCCAACAGGAAGTCGATTATTTTGGTCTGTATGTGGATGTTTTGCAAAATCAGCCTTTACATTTTTATTCACTCCTCTTAAGTGGTTTAATTTATTCCCCCCAAACTTTTTCAAAATGATGAAAATACATTAAAGATGCTAAATTGTTAACGGATATTGAATACCTCAAACGGTTTTGCTATGGCGGGGGATTATGTCAAAAAAGAATCAGGAAAGGCATCAAATCTTTAAAAAATGTAATTATACACAATTTATTGTTCTATAAAATTATACCACTATTAGAACTAAACCCATTGTTTTCCTTTTTTTTTAATTTAAGAATTATTTTTAATTTCCAATTTATTTTCAACTTAAAAATCATTCATAGTGCTATACTGCCCTCTTGTGTTCAAAATCGAAGCATTTAAACTGATATATTATATTACTTCAAATAGAATTTTTTTTTTTTTAAATATTATATTAGGCCCATATTGTATTATATTATAAGCCTAAATAAAGAATCGCACAAAGGTATTGTTTAGGTTATATTAGGCTTATATTTTATTATATTATATAAGGCTAAATAAAGAACCTCCCAAGGGTATTGTTTAGGGCTCATTACTGTTAAAAAGTTTGAAACCCCTTGCTAAAAAAAATATTGGAAATTCATAAACAATAAACAATCATTTAACTTTGATGGTTTAATGCTTTCTGTACACAATTCATTGACTGTACAAAAACACTCATCACTGCTTGCAGCTTTAATTTGTCATCATTATGACTGGCCAATGTAGATCCTGTAGCAAATTAGCTCAAAAGGGAAATATATATTTGAGTAATCATAATGAGTACGCTTAATCCCTTGGGGTCGAGAATCACGCCGGCGTGATTGTCTCTCTTTTTTTCTCATCAGTGCAAAAGAGACTCAAATAACTCTGGCGATTTTTGTGATACAGTCAAGTGTTACATCAATCAAAACTGTTAAATGTCTACTTTTATTTGTGTACACAAATAATAAAAAACAAAATGTTGTGATTTTTGTAAAATAAAGAAAATAAACATGCGCGTTCTCCCTTCTCTCTCAATTTGAAGTTCGTGACATAAAATGAAAATGTATTTCACATTCTGAAACGTGACGTAAAATGATCTTTAACTCTGCAAATACTTGCCACACACATGTGAGAGTTATGTCTTTACAAAGCTTGAAGTCTCCATTTTTAAATTATGTAAATCATACCTAAAACAAATATTCTCTGTTTAAGTAATTCGTATAAAAGCAACGACATGTTCATTTTCTCCAGTCTAAGCTGATAAGCACTAATGCGGCCGTAGCTACGCCCACACGTGCGCACGAGCTGTTCAAATTCAAATGTTCCACGTGGAGGAACGCACTGTTACCGCCCTCGTCACCTCAAAACAAAGAATAGTCGACTCTGCATTTTTGTCAATTTTGTAAGGCAAGACATCTTATGGTTGTATATAGCGTACTTTACATTGTTGCTACTAGTTAAACTGGTCCCACACTAAAATGTTATGAAATGAGATTGGAGTTGTGAGATTGAGTTGAGAGAAATTAGATGTTTTTATCTTTGATATTAAACACAGCATGATATAAAGAAGACTTTGTTATTCTTTAATAGTGAATATTATAATGTTTGGACATGTATGATTGAGAATATCTGCTGAAACGTAGATATGTATCATGTAACAATAATGTTTCATAGTTTGGAGCGGATTCGGATCGGTTCAGTGAATTTCTTCTGCACGCGCTAAGTTTGAGGCACTCATGCTGTGGGTTTGAAAAGCAAAACATGCCAAACATTATAGGCATAGGTTTTCTCCAATCTTATTTCATAACAAATGGAAACGTTTGAAGTAACATGCTGTATGATAAATCATATTTTTGTCTAGTGTAGTGTTGCTGAAGTGTTCCTTTTTTAACAATATATAGGCTGCTTGCTATTTATCTGTTATTATTTTATGCAGCCCTATACATAGGCTATAACGATGCACAACAAACTTGGTGTTCATATATATTTAATAATTGTAACCAGAAAAATAATATTCCCAAAATCATGCAGTCCTGTGGTTTCTCTTGATATCAGCATGATATGAGCATGATTTATTTTTTACAGGGATGCCACTGATGAGTCCTGCTGACTTCAGTATTCACAGGAGACTGTACATGAACATGGTAAAGTGACTAATCAAACACCTTGGAAATGACTAGGGCTGTAGTCAACCAAAGAAATCCTTGGTCGACCAAAATCTTGTCCTGCGCAACCATAGTCGACCAAAAAAAAAACAAACATTTTTTAACAATTGTCATAGAACATTTCTAAAACAACAACGAAAAAAGGGTCGGTTTACTTGGCGCCATGACCAAGTACTGCGATGTTTGGCTTTAGCATTGGAGGGAAAGCGTAGTATGACCAATAAGATGCCACCTGCAAAACATTACACGCAGAAGACAATATTCCTCCGCCCAGGCGAGCAACCACCAAGAAAAGGTGTTAACACCAATTCTCACCCAGGACAACTGGAAACTGCTAGGGACTGGAAGATGCTGGCTGATCTTGATGAACGCCTTATTTTTCCACCTGAGATTGCTACCACTAACTTACGACCAGATATTGTTATGTGGTCTGGATCAGCACGCATTGTTCAGCTGATAGAGCTAACAGTGCCATGGGAGGATGCGGTAGATGAAGCATATGAGAGGAAGAAATTGCGTTATGCTCATCTGGCCACTGAGGCAGAGCAGCGAGGATGGAGAGTCCAAGTTTATCCAGTGGAAGTGGGTTGTCGAGGTTTTGTGGCACACTCTACAACCCGGTTCCTCAGAGACGTTGGATTCAGTGGCCAAGAGTTGCATCTCACTGTAAGGAACTTATCTGAAGCAGCAGAAAGGAGCAGTAACTGGCTGTGGTTGAGACGGAAAGATTCTAGCTGGCTATGTACAGACCGCCACGCTACGGTTTCGTAGAATTCTTGAAGAGACTGTTTGTATAGGTTGCACTGAAATTACAGTCATTACGTTCCTGTGTATATTGTTTGAATGACGGTGGTTGGCAAGATATTGTGGTTTGCGGTAGGTGGTATGCCATACGGAACCGTTTGCCACTGAAACTGCTTTATAACGCACCAGTGGGGCTCGACAGCCATTATCAAACGGGTTGGCGCGTATGGTTGGGTTGCGCGTGATCGTGGTTAGGTCTCTGTAGGGGTCAGTAAGCTGGGCTGAGTTGAGTGGGGGACAGAGGGGGGTGACTCTGGGACGCCAGGGTCACTGTCGAGCCCTCTTGAGGTGTCGTGGGCTAGTTGACGAAACACTGAGGATGGAAGGTGCCCACTTGAAGACCAACAACGCTCAAAATAGCCCCACACCAACACGACAGCATAACAAGGGTCCCTACATTCAAACCGAAGCATTGAGAACTTTGTCAGTGTCCATACAGTTTAATTTCGCGAATACAGGAAGCAAAACCGTTTGAGGTATTCAATATCCATTAACAAGTTTAACTTCGCGAATACAGGAAGAAGCTTTGAACAATAGTCTCGGCCAGTCGATCTACGAACGCCAATCCAAGTGCGCTGGTGAGATGTGAATTAGGTGATAAGGTGAGCGCGAACAGTAGGCTACGTGTACATATTGAAGAGAAGTAAACGGTTTGTGTTTGTGTTTCTTCTGGAAACAATGGACCATATGTGATTCTGCACAGTTTAGCGCACTTGGATCGGCGCTCGTAGTTCGGGCAGAGTCTATTTGTGTTGTGCTATGCTCATTTCAAGTGAAAGCACACTTTTGATGGAGAAAATAAGTATGATTTCACACAAAAAGTGCCCAAAATGCACAGAATTTGCATGTCTAGTATGTTTTAACAAGAACTGGAGTAGGCTACGTCAGAAAGGAAATGAAGACTCAAAAATATTTATTTAGTCATTTAAACTTCTCTTAATTATTCAGTCTATATGTTTTAATAATAAATAAAACGAGCTAACTAGTCAGAATAAACTTTTCTTTTAGTTTATGTAATAGCCACAGACAGGTACATGCCCATATCAAAACCGAGTGTAGCCTATTTTTTATTAATGTTTGCTGTCTTGTAAACATATCGAAGTATGACTGAAAAGACTATATCAGAGCTATTTTTTGTTTACCATTTACATGCAATTGTTGTATATCTCCAATCTTAACAAACTTAAAGAATCAAGTTTATTACTGACTAACTTCTAAAAAGAGAATTTCTTTGTAAAAAAAAATGCACGCACACATACTTGTTTAAATACATTGCCTTCAATTTGGACTTCTCCCTCGGGTTATGTGGCCACTCACTATTTACGAGCTCCCAATAACAACTGTGGAGAAGATGGAGCGAACCATGACCTCATACGTGAAGAAATGGCTCGGCGTCCCTCGCTGTCTGACTAACATCAGCCTCTACGGCAAAGGGGTCCTTGAGCTTCCTATCACCAGCCTCACCGAAGAGTACAAGTGCTCTAAAGTGAGACTTCAGATGACTTTGAAGGACTCCAGAGACCAGACCATCAGCAATGCCGTTCCACCTCTGTTAACTGGACGGAAATGGAAACCATCCGACGCGGTGCAGCAAGCTACGTCAGCCCTGAGGCACAGCGATATTGTAGGGCACGTCCAGTTGGGAAGAGGAGGCCTTGGCCTTACGACAAGCAAGCCAACTTGGCGTAAGGCCTCAACAGCAGAGAGGAGGAAAATGGTGGTCGAGGAAGTGCGCCGTCAGGAGGAGGCAGAAAGAAGTTCAAAGGCTGTCTATCTTGCTAAGCAGGGACAATGGATGAGGTGGGAAGGCCTGGAGAGAAGAAAGCTTAGCTGGAGGGAGCTCTGGGAAATGGATGCAAGCAACATCAGCTTCATCATCAGAGCAACCTATGATGTGCTCCCATCACCAAAAAACCTCCACCAGTGGTATGGTGAGGACCCAACCTGTGCCCTCTGCCCAACTCCAGCGACACTTAAGCACATCTTGGTCGGCTGTAAGACCAGTCTCACACAAGGTCGTTACACCTGGAGACACAACCAGGTCCTCAAGAGTCTGGCAGCAGCTCTTGAGAGCCAGAGGGATGCCACCAACTCCTTGCCCCTGAGAGCAACCAAGTCCATCACGGCCCCAATCTTCATCCGAGAGGGACAGGAAAAGCCCAACCATCCCCCTACCAAACCAGAGACTGGACAGCTAGCCATGGCCCGGGACTGGAAGATGCTAGTCGATATAGGCCAGCAACTAATCTTTCCACCTGAAATTGCAGTCACCACCCTTAGGCCAGACTTGGTTCTCTGGTCCCCTTCGTTAAAGTCTGTTTACATCATTGAGCTCACAGTCCCATGGGAGAATGCAACAGATGAGGCCTATGAACGCAAGAAACTGCGCTATATAGGACTGGCAGCAGACGCTCAACAACGAGGATGGAAAGCGAAAGTCTATCCGGTTGAAGTGGGATGCAGAGGGTTTGTGGCTTCGTCTACCATCAGATTGCTGAAAGACCTTGGCATCCGTGGACAGGCTTTGCGACAAACAATCAGATCAGTCTCTGAGGCATCCGAAAGAAGCAGCCAGTGGATCTGGACTAAGAGGAAGGATCCCTGTTGGGCTCAAAGAGCATCAACATGACCCACTCACTAATCCCCCCACCCGATAACCCCCTTGGGAACCCAGGTCACAACCCTCCATGAGGAGGCTGAAGGTATGCGGTCAGCCTTATGCTTGACTCAGGGAAGAGGACGCCTCCTGCCTTGCATAGTCCTAATTTTTCTTATGATTGGGCATGGGACACAAGCTCAGGTTTGATCACCCTGTAGCTGGCCACCTTTGATGAGGGTGTCTAGTGTTGAAAGGCCGAAAGACCCCCTGATTCAAAGGCACATTACTGATGATGTGTCCCGAAATTTAAACCTTTCCCATGGCTGAAGTACAGATCCCACGCCACTCTCAACATCAAGGCAAAACTCATGTGCATACCACCTATTGGCACAATGGACAGTTTTCCATCACGTCCCGTGTTTATGATTCTATGTTGTTAATAAATACAATAAATTGTTGTACCAGTAATATTTCCTAGTTTTGTTTTTCACTGTGGAAATGTAGAAAATCAAAGGACTGGATCCTTATGAGCATAGTGACTGGCCAGGAGACGTCAACCCGTTGCCCTACTTCGAGCACCCATACACAACTATATTAAATGTTAGAGCATACACGCACAAAGTTTTCAGTAACTTCAAGTCGCTGCAGCAGGCCCAAGTCTTTTCTTACAGATGGGTGGGTCCAGGACCTGGAGATTGTAAAAGTGGAGCAGAAAACTGTTGTCCATTCAAATGTATGCTATTCCACACTCATCGCTCTCTGTCATTTGCATGTAGTCAGAATTCCTGTCAAGATTGTAATGATGGCCAGCCAAAAGCCCCGTTCACACCGCCAGCGACGTTGTAGCTGTGTGTTGCTAGGCTACTGTGATGTCGCTTGTGGGCCGCGGGCTTTCGTAGTGCTGTTGCTCTAATGTTATTGGTAAACTGCATGCCTGGTCATATTTATACAAAATACCATCACAAGTGATATATACAACTATATAATTTTAATTTGACTTGGAATAAATGACTTTTAAGGCTAAAAAGAAACCGTATGCTGTTGGGAGAGTGTTTATATTACCACAGCAGTATTCAGTGGATTAAATCATTTACTAGATTAACGATCGATCAATGAACAAATTAAACTCACTCATACGGGCATAAATTATAAAAACGTCATTCGAATTTGACAAATAATCAATTTCCATGTCCCTAATAGTCAACGTAATTGATAATTACAGTTTACAACACAGCAGGCAGAACGCATCTTGTACACTGTTTGTACCGTGGATTCCCAAAACGTTCACCACTGGTAATACGTCACTGGTGACGTCACGTTAGCAATCTCTATCTCTATATAAGGCACCAATCCCGGGCCGTGTTTGCGTTCACACAGGTGTTTGTTCTGGCAATTTCCCAGGATCAACGCGCTGTGTGAAAGGGGCTCATGTTGTTTCAATGTTGCTGACTGGATGGGGTAGAGTGACGTGACTACTATGTTTTAAGGGGAAAGTACGTCAACACACAGTGGGCGGATATATTAATAGTATTCAAAAACCAAAATAACTGACATGGTAAAATCACGTCGTTTATAGGCTCTGAATTTCGGTTTCGATTATTTTTCGGTTAATCGTCCAGCCCTATCCAGACGGTTGTCGTGGTGGTCCACTAGGGAGAACACACTGTAGTTGCAGCCGTCGTGTGTGCTGACGCGACAAGTACACTGCAGCCGTTAACGCCGGACAGAAGGGGAGTCACACCACCATATGGAAAGAAGCGTAAATGGATGTAGAATAGGGCTGAACGATTAATTGCATATCGATAAAATCGCGATATGATGAAATGCGATTTTGTAATCGCAAGAGCTGCGATTACACTGGTCACGTGACACGTGAGCGAAAAGCAGTCTGCAAGATAAAACATCAACTTGCCACGCTACGTGGTCTGGCGTTCAGAAAAGAACAGTTTATTGTGTTATTTATTCTCTCCTCTCCTCAACAATCCTGGATCGATTCAGAGAATTTCAGAATCGAGTATGAGCTTAGTTTTTAAACACAGATGCGTGATGACGCTGCGCGTGCTTTAGAAACGAACCGTGTTCTAAATCTGCTTGCTTCTATTTTCTCGCTCTCTCTCTTCCTCACTCACACACACACACGACACCGCTCGAACCTTCCAAAACATAGTAACGTTATTTCATAAAGTTCGGGATTGAACCGAATTACAAGGACATTCGCAGGCTTCATTGAACAGGTTTCGCCGCTTTGCTTGATGTTATAACGTTACACTTGCAGTGCGCGTTCTCTCCCGCGGGAATTTTCTTTACAAATGCTTCACAGAGGCATTATTTATGTCTTTTGGAATGCAGTTGGCTTATATATTAAAACCATGAAAATCACTGAGAAGGCTGCTTTCATTTTAAAATACTAACGCATGCTTTGTGAAGATCGCTCGTGCATGCGGCTGTGAGTGACTCATTGGTAAATGTACTTGCATGTCAAAATGCTTTTATGACGCGAAATTAATGTAAACACGGTCAGTTATATCTTAAACCAACAGTACAAACCACATTTACTGAGACCACTCTTTGTTTATTGCTTGTAATGTTTTTTTTTTGTTTCTCTTTATTTAGCTTTTATATTTTTAAGCTATATTATTTTATATAGCCTATTTAAAATTCTAAACATGTAATTGGTTTAATTAAATGTTTTTTTATATTTATTTTTTATGTGTTTTTACACATGTAATTAAATACATATTTTAAGAGTTATTAAGATTAATTAATAAGAAAAAAAGTAGATCGGATCATGAGCTATCTAAAGATTCCCATCCCTACTGTACAATGATTTATTGCTTGTCTTTGTCGACTAATACAGAAGGTAAATAACTTTTTTTTTTAAATCGCAATCGCAATATTGGTTAAAAAAAATAAAAATAATTAAAAAAAAAAAAAAAAAAAATCGCAATTAGATTATTTTCCAAAATCGTATAGCCCTAATGTAGAAGCATAGTTTACTGCAAAGCTATGTCTTAGCTTACCTTGGCGAAAGCCAAGTATAAATCAGCATAAAGTTAACATCTACTCTCGTGTAATGGAAATCATAATGGGGGGGGGGGGGGGGGGGGGGAGTAACACCTCCCCGCATAAAGCGATCTTCCCCAAAACACAAACAATTTTAAAAGACTTGATTGTCTTATCTGAATGAGTAGTCAGGAAGATTTTCATATAATTTTGGAGCAAATACTCTAAGCTATGTGATACTATTTTTTAAAAAGTCTTGTGAAGAAATAATCAGTATGGGTTTTATGAACTTATTCCAGTGACATTTTTTTGTTTGTTTTATTCACAAACCACGCATAAACGTCATTGTTAAAACTACAAAATTTTACATACGTGCTGCTATCATATTATTGTAGCAGAGTTTGTGCTGAATACAGTGTAATAATACTTTAACCATGAAAATGTCACAAGTAACAGAAAAAAAGCACAAATGTCAGCGCATGTCAGAACACCTCCAGTACCCAGAATACACCTCAGATGGAGGACTGACATCCATTTTTAAATCTACTTTTTGCTGTCAACAATCTTCAACTGCAGGCTACTCCAGCTTTGAGCTGCAACTCTTTGAGGTAAAGCTTTCGGAAACTTTTCTTTGTGCGGTGATCTATCGGCCACCAAAATTTAACAAAGACTTTGTTCGGGACTTTGCAGACTTTGTATTGGGTGTCACTCTTAAATATGACCACTTTTTGATTGTTGGGGATTTATGTATGTTGCGAGAACA